ACCCTCTTACAGTGTTAAACTGAATTAAAGAATTGGGTTTTGGTTATTTTTTTAGTTGACAATTTTTTTTATTTTTAATAGTTTTTTACAACAAAATCGACAAAAAAAAATTTTTTTGTTTTTAACCAAAAAAAACGGGGCCAAAATTTTTTTTGGTTTGAAAAAACACATGAGGTTTAAGAAAAGGCGAGGGATTGTTGCGAAAAATGCCGCTTGGCCTTTTTGTTTTTAAAAGAAAAATTTTTAATTGTGTTAGAATATAAAATTGTTCCACCGCTGTCATATTGAAGATGTTTTTTTTTCAGATAAACATGGATGTATCCCGAAAAGATTATTTGCTGAATACGAACGCAGTGAGCCTGGAATGTAACTGCCTTCCATGCTGATCAAAAGATGGTTTGAAAAGTGTCGGTTTCATGGGAATATGTCGAGACTGCAAGGAACTACCTCTGCAAAACTTTGTTTTTGAAAAATCATACAGGCGCGAAGCCATGTAGTAATCACATCGCTTGCATATAGAACCCATGCCCAGGATCAACGTAACAGACGTTAGTGCATAAATGAAAAAAGCATATGTCTGAAAACTGCGAGCCAACCATATGGAATAAAACCACTGGGAGTTCATGTAACAGATCACTAGAAACTCAGTGGCATGCTTATGTCTGGTGTTGCACTCGAAACATAAACGAATGCAAGCAGAATATTATTCCTGATATGCCAGTAAATGTTTCTCGTGCAGTTTAAAGATTTTGACAAAAAATGGAAGTGTTGTAAAGTTGGGGAATAAAATTATGAAGGGGTTTTGTCTAAAAAAAAAAAAAACCCAAAATACAAAAAGTTGTTTTGGGACAACGGTTTTTTTTAAGGGAAAAAAAAGCCCTTTTAGATCAGATTGTCGGTGATATCAAAAGCAACCGTTGTAAAAAGCAAATAAAAAATTGGGATTTAGGTTGCTTGCGAAAAAATTAGCCGGAAAAGGTGAAACGTTAAGTCTTTTTTTAAACCCCTTTTTGGGGGAAAAGCAAGTTTAAGTTTTCACTGATTGAAAAATGTCGGACCCCATTTTTTGGGCACTAGAAAAAATGAAAAAATAAGATTGTCAAAAATAATATGCATTTGACCATTCATTTTGTCGGAACGGAAAGCTTTAGCAGCTGAAAAAATAGAAAAAAGCTTTGGGGAAAAAAATTTAAATAAGAAAAACCCTTCAGTACTGAAAAAATGTGTCAATATGAAATCGCTCAAAAGTGAAATTTCCTTTTGATAAACGCAAATAAATGTTGTTGGGAAAGGGAATGGTTTTTTTCCCCCCGCGAATGTCATTTCTGATTTTAATAACAACAAAAATTAAACAATAGAGTAGCCCCTGGAAGCTGGGGTCAGAAAAAACCCTGACTTTTTGCCCACTCCCTGTTAAAAAAATTCAGAAAATAAAATTTGGGGTTTCCTTTCCTGGTGAAAAAATTTTATCCAGTAAAAGTCTTATACCCCCATACGGGTTTTTCCTTTGATGTCGCATAGATGGGGAGAAAGATTTTTTTGTGTAGCTTTTGTCAGGAAAAAGTAGAAATGGGCAAAAATTTTAATCCCGGGGAAGCTGTTTTTAATTTAGAGGGGAAAAAAATACGGGTTTTTTCTCCTGGGGTTTTGGATTACCTAAAAAATGTTATCGCCAGTGATGAATTTTCTGTAGTATTATTATTCGTAGGGAAAAAGCAAATGTGTTAAAATAGACTGGGAGGAAATTTGGCAAAATTTGAGGTCAAAGGGTGTGAAACCCCCATAGGAATCAAAGTTGGAAGTGGGACTTTGTTGTTTTTCTTATATCCCGTCGCAAAAATTTTCGATTGTCGAGCATTCAAAAAATGTAAAATCATGATTAGAGGGCATAAAATTTCCTATCAACAAAAATTGAAAAACATGAAATAATCCACGTTATATGTTAGTTGTTCTTCTGGCACAAAAAAGTTTTTTAAAAAATACAATAAAAAGTATTCAAAATGTGAAAAATGGATAATTGGATGTTTAAATGTGAAAAGTGCAATGTTGTAAAATTGTTATGATCAGTGGGGGGTCAATTTATCATTGGAAACATACTTAATACAAAAATATATATCGTAATCAAAGTTGATTTATCTTGGAGATATTATAGATATCCATCCAGTTGTTAGAAAAATGTATAATAATGAAAGAAAATATCTTTTTTTTTCAAATAATTGATAAATGGTGATCGTCATTTATATATCATTTCAAAGAACAAACTTTTTAATTACGTTTTTACTTGTCCAGTAAATATTTCCTTTTCGTATTTAATTAATACTTCTGCTTCGAAGTATTTAATTGATATTTCTGCTCCGAAGAAGTGTAAAAACTTATATTTCTTGCCTTTTTTGTAAATATTGTTTTGTTTTATATTTAATTACTATAAAAATTAATTTTGCCTTTTTTGATTCGAAGGAGTAAGAATGTTTCAATACATATAATAGATTTGTAATAATTACTTAATGATTAACGATTACTTTATTTGTGATTTTGAAAATAGTTTTTACTATTTAATGCCACATGGTTTTGATATCAGTGTATATTAAAGCTTTTTTGACCTTCGATATTTTTATTTTAGAATCTTCACATTCTTAATGCTACTTTCATATTGAAAAAAAAACTTTTTTAACAATAGGGGTATTTTAGTAAAATGGCATGCTATTTAGTGTGTTTTTGCCAAAAATTACAGGATATAAAATCTGTTTGTTGATTACTGAGATGAATAAAATTTTTTTGATTTTATAAAAATTTAGTGAAAAATTTCTTAACATCCCGGTTAAAAAACGTTTTTTCAATTCAGTTGAATTTACAAATTAAACTAAAAAAACGTAAAAAAAAATGTGAAAAAATAAAAAAAAAGTAAATTAGGGGGTTTCCAAAAGATTAAAAATTTAAATTGGGGAAATTTAGATTTTATTAAGGTTCATACACAATTAATTTTGCGCCTAATTCTTGTAATAGCTAAAAAAATTTCATAAGTTTGGTTGGTCGCCAATTAAAACTGCTACAGGTTTTTACAAAATTTTAAAATGTGAAAACTTTATTAGTAAAATTTTAAATAAACAAAAAATCCCTTTTTTTTTTTAAAAAAAGCCTTTGCCACTAAAAAAAATGTAAAAAAAAAAGTTACCCTTTTTTTGTATAAAAATTTGAATTTTCCCCAATAAGAGGATCTAGGAATTTTGGGGTTTCAATTCTGTTGGGGCATTTCAAAAGAAAGCATGTGCAGTGTGTCTCTTTATATAAAGGCCATGGTTTAATTTATTCAAATAAATAGGAATTTTTTTTACAGTATTTTTAGCTGTATTAAACTTTGAAAAAAGCAGTTGCAGTAAATTTCTTAATACTTCTTTTTCCATTAATCTTTCCTATTTCTGGAAACTTAAAAAAAACATTATAATTTAAAAAAAAAATCATTACAAAAATGTTGTAAATAAAAATTCCTTTTTTTGCGAAAATCTATTTTTTTGTATTTACACAGAAAATTATACGGGGTTTATTCTGGCCCGTTTTTATTCCCCTTGCAAAATTTTTATACATTTATTTTAAAAATTATGGATTTCTGATTACTTCTTTAAGCAAATTTATGAAGCTGGGGGCTGCAAAATTAATGAGTAAAAATTAAAGAAGATCCGGATATTTGTTGTTTGTTGGGTTTACGTCCAAAACCCACAGGTATAGGCCATTTTGGGGACTTCCCGCTTACTGGTCGAGGAAACCTCAGGTGCACTTCTGATAAGGCACGAAAAAAGGGGGAAACCCTTTAAAAACCACCGACGTTCGTAAGCTGTGGATAGCTTCATAATTGGGAAAAAAATCCAAATCCCTGCGGGATTCAAACCCCCGCAGCGGGGGGCAGGGGTTTAAGTCAAAGACCTTAAAACCCCTCGGCCCCCGGACGCCCCCCCTCCAGGTATGAAAACCAAAAGGAAACAAGAGGGGAAGATGGTTAAAGTTTTTGTTTACAGAGACATAGCAATTTATAAGATTGTCCGGCCAGCTTTAAAAAAATTATGAGAATTTTATTTTTAATATACAAACAAGACTAGGTACAAACAAAAAAATTGAACCCAAATTTGAATTTTATGGTCAATCAGGTAAAATTCATAAAATTTTTATGTTTCAATTTTCTGGATCTTGCTTAGCACGGTCTTACTATAAATTGACTTTATATCGCTTTTTTTTAATTTGACAAATGAAACCCCTTTTTTTTGTCCCTTTTGTACAGTTGAAATTTGGGAAAATTTTTTTAATATTTAAAAATTTTATATTTGTTTTAATGTTTTTTTGAACTTTTAAACTCTGACCTAGATAAAATTGATATAGTTTTACCCCCTTTTTTTTCCCTTTTGCAAAAAAATTGGGCTATGTGGGCCAGTTTTTAATGCAAAACAAAAATTTAGATTATGGAAAAAATTCATACGTTTAACAAAACGGGGTGACTCCTATCTAATGAAATGAAAAAAAAGGGAAAAAAATAAATTTAATTAATTTTTTAAAGATTTTTTTTAAATTTTATTTTTTAACTTTGGCCAAGGAAAAAAAGTAAAACCTTTTAAAAACGTAAAAATGCGAGCGATTTTTCCCCCCTTTGGGCGGAGCTCTTTTTAGTTTTCCCAGCTTTTTAAAAAAAAGTAAAGGGGTATTGGGAGATTTTTTAAATTTTTTAAATTTGGGGTTTTGTTGAAAACTTTTGTTTTAAAAAAAAAAACAAAAAATAAAAAAAAAAGGGCCCTTTTTCTTTGGAAATTTCTAAAAATGACTGTTTTTTGAAAAAAATTTTAGTTAAAAAAATTTAAATTTATTTTTTTACGCCTTAATGGGTTTTTTCTTTCCTTTTGGGCATGACAAAAACGGGTTCCTCGAAGGAAAAATTAACCATGTTTAAACCCCCAAAAGGGGAAGTGGGGGTTTTTTTGGGGGATGGATAAAAAGCTTAACAAGGGGGCCCGCAACCACAAAAGGGGTTTAAGCCAATTCAGCCATAGGGGAAATGCCAGGTGGTGCATCTCTTACCATCAGTGGAGGCCGTTTAATCCTGGCAAATGGGGAAAGTGCCCCGCTGACAACTGATCCAACCAGTATGTTTGTGACTTGAAATGTTTTATTATGTCCCCCTTCGTAAAAGAAGCGGTTTTTAGTTTTGTTTGTCTGTTCGTCCGTAGACCACATGGCTTTGCACTTGTTATCTTTAAAATTATTTATCACAACAAACTCTTTATATTTCACATACTGGTAGGTCATAACTACTATTGATTTTGGGGTCACTAGGTAAAAATTGAAGGTGACAGGGGCATTAAATGTCAGAATGGTTTCCGCTCTTTACACTTATGATAGCTTCCATTCAGTTTCAGGTCATACATTGGTCATTATTTTTTTTTCATAACTAAACATTCCATGTACCCATTTATGGCATGTTTCTATAACAAAATTACCTATAGTATGTGTTAAGGGCTAGAAAGGAGGTCAAATGTGCCGTGTCTTGTTTCTCTTTGTGATCACCTGTTGTCTTGTCCAACTTATAACCTGCCTTGAGCTGTCTGTAATTATCCAGAATTTCTCTTAGCATCATTATATCTTTAACCTCATAGTGCAATTTGACAAAATTCTAAAGAAATGATTTTAGGTGAGGTGTCTGGAGCTTAAAATAAAATTTTAAAATGAAATCTTTAAAAATCCTCTAAGAATATAATGCACAGATCTAAAGATAATGACTATAGCATATCATTATAACCTTTTGGTCCTCTACAAAAGTTATATATAATGAGTAATGCTCTTTGGATCAAGTCTGTCTGTTCGTTAAGGGTCACTTAGTATGGAAAAAGCCTTGTATATAAAAACAGATTTACATCATCATCTCCGAAACTACATATCCTTATGCTTAGGTGTTAGGTGTGAAGCTTTGCCAAATGAACTCTACAGAATTATATGTATCAAGCCGGTTGAATAAAAAATGTTCTGAATAATGGGACCATTTTGTTTAGCTCCACTATTCAACGAGGGGAGAGCTAATGTATCCATCCCAGCATCTGCGTCACACTTTCTTTGTGTTTTCATCTCCAAAGCTACTGAAGGGAGTGGGTTGAAAGTTCACACACTTACTTTATAGTATAACTGGAAATCATTGCATAAGGCACATTACATTGACAGAAATATGGCCCTATTTGAACTTCTAAAAATTCTACATTATCCAAGCTCGTGGGTTACTTTCAAGCACTGAGAATAGTCAAGTTTGCTGTCCTACTCAGAACTGACAGCTCTTGTTTCATACTGAGATTAGGAAATGATAAATATTTTATGATTTTCTGCCGATATCAATGCAACAGTTACTGTGATGAACTTAAGGGATATTTTGGATTATATTTATTTTGGACGCATTCTATGCAATTTATTGTCCCCGCCTTTTCGAAGAAAAAATGGGGGATATAGAAATAGGCTCCGTCGCATCTGTCCGACCGTCCGTCACACTTTCGTGTCCGGTCCATAACTTTGTCATTTATCAAAGGAATTTGAAATAACTTGCACAAAAGTTTGTTATAATAAGACAATGTGTCATACGCAACAACCAGACCCCTACCTTCAGGGTCAAGGTAGCTTTTTGTTCATTCAAGGTCAACATTTGTCTATTTGAGGGTATATGTCGTGTCTGTTCCATAACTTTCTTATCTTTGTAGGGATTTTGTAAATATTTGCCAGAATTGTTCACAATTATAAATGAAATGATATGTCATGCGCAACAACCGGTTACCTACCTCCAAGGTCAAGGTCACACTAAGAGGTCAAAGATTTACATAGTCTGTTATAGGGTATATTTGCGTCCAGTCCATAACTTTTTCATACATCAATGGATTTTTAAATACTTTGCACAAATAATCACAATAATAAGACGATATGTCAGGCGCAAAACATTGGTCCCCTACCTCCAAGGTCACACTTAGAGGTCAAAGATTAACATAATCATCGTTATAGGGTATATTTTGTGTCTGGATCTATAACTTCTTCATAGTTCAAGGGATTTTGAAAAAACTTGACACAAACAATTATAAGACGATATGTCATGCACAACACCAGCACCACAATCTCCAAGGTCAAGGGCACACTTAGAGGTCAAAGCTTAACATTATAGATTTTTAAATTCTGTGTTTCATTTTATTTCTTTAATAAATTTATTGATGCATTTGCAGATCTAGCATTGATCATAATATTGAACTGAAAGTCCTGAGATCCATACATCAATCTTTTGAAATAGTACAACTTTATGCTTCATATAAAACTTCCCTGAGACGGGGAACGTTGGTTACTCTGTTACAAATTCTTGTGTAAATTGTAAGTGTTTGTGAGTGGTTTAGGTCGTTGACTTTAAACCACTTGCCCCTTACCGCTGTGGATTCAAATCTTGACAGGGACTTGAGATTCTTTCATGCAAGGAAGCTATCTAGCTAGCTTATGGAATGTTAGTGGTTCTGCTCAGATGCCCGTGTGTGCCTGAAATAATGCGTGGAAGCGTTCCTGAGGTCTTCCTCCACCCGTCACCCCCAAAAAGTAAATTTTAAGGACATAATGCTTAGCTAGCTTAGATTATCTATCTATAATCAATTGATATTTCAAAAGCATCTGCCCAAGCAGCCTTAGATTATATTTATATCATAATGTATAACTTCAAAATAATTGTCAAATTGTCAAATTGCATTTCTTATTTCAGCTGGAATGATGTCAATACCTGTCTCAATATATCAAAGTCTTATGGCATCCCAGCAACAGGGAACACTGGATCTGGGGTCAACTGGTCAGGTGGTGTTCACACAGGCAACTACAAACCAGCAAGTCCAACAGCCTCAGATTATCACACAGCAGCAACTGGAGCAGCTGCAGCAGCTGCAGCAGCAACAAAGCCTCCAACAGCATTTAGAGGCTCACCAGGAGATTGTACATGTAGGGGAACCTCTAGGTGTACAGTTAAATCAACAACATATACAAGGTGCCAGTGGGGATGGATCAGATAGCTTGATAGCTACAGGAACTGTTGCATGTAAAACTGAGACTTCATAGTTAACAAACTGTTTGGATATTTTAATATGTATTCTTTATATTTGTATATAAGAGCCAATGTGTTCAAATTATGAAAATGTGACAGAAGGGGAAAATAACACCCCCAACTTTGTAATGTTCTGCCATATATCTATTAAATGAAATAAGTCTCTGAGGTGTTGAGTAAGGGGATATTGATCTTTACTTTACTAAATATCTTAAATAGAATTGTTCATCTTTCAGTGTGGACTAGGTAGCACTGTATGCTGTATGCACAGGTAAGCATTATATATGCTGAATTTCTGAATGTACAAAGGTTGCAAGAACGACATACACTGACGGAGTTTGAAAATGCATCCATTGTTTTTTTCTCTTTTTTATAAGGAAAGGCATATTCGATTTTTAACTTTTTTTGCAAACTGAAGGACACGTGTCTATAATGCTCATTTAAAATTGTTACTGTCACAGCCTCTGTTGAGTTTAAGTTGAAAACGCATGGTAACCTGCATTCACAAAAATCACAACCGACCTGTTTTATGAGCATAGTCCCAATCTCAGTCATGATCTCACTGGGATTGTTTAAGATTATGTCCCTCCTCCCGACGAGGACGTGAGGACGTGTGGGTTTTTTTAAAAAAACATTTTATATATTATTTTAGCTAAGCTTATAAATGAGGCGTTCAGTATCTCGTGTATGACCCATTAGCCTGAATGCTAGCAAGACACCTTTGTCTCATTGACAGAATCTTTGCAGCAATTGGATTATTATTCCATTCTTGCACTAAAATTTGTTGAAGCTACATTTCGTGGAGGTGGTATACGTGCATTAATTCTACGGCATAAATCGCCCCATACATGCTCTATTCGTGAGTCTAGCACATTAATTTGATTATATATTTTCATTATCAACTGACCAATTTAAAGCTTTAGTCATCAGCTAATGTTGGTATTTGTCTTTATTTACAATTCCTTTTAACAGCTTCAAACCAATGGGTACATTTTTTTGAAAACATAGTGGTCCTTTACACAAGTCATATAAATTATCATTGAATTCTGTATATGTAGGTTACTTGAACTTGAAATCTTGGAGAAACTCTTTGTCAGTATGTAGAAAGAAGCCAGACCTTTGATATATGGTAAATAACATGGCTTAGTGAGTCATTCATAAATGCCCTTAGAATAAAATTTACCCGCACTTTGATACTTTACTTAGTCTTACATAATATAACAACTTGTAATCTTCTTGCCTTTGTATATAAATGTCCCTGGATTCAGATGTTATCCCATTTTGTGGTTCTGTTTCAATTTATAGAGAAAAACGATTGAAACTTAAAACCAAAGAGATTGTCTATAATATGTTACATAACTTTTCCTTTTATAATATGTTACATAACTTTGCCAAGAGTTAGTCTTATGCATGTCATTTTTAGTTAATTGTTTTCAAAATAATCAGAATCAAGCTCTATTGACTTTAATACACTTATATTATGTGAAATATTTATTTGCCCATTATGTTGATTTATATGTCATGAATGTGACTCATTAATTGGAAATAAACTATTCGATTCTATTCTTCAAATCGTGGATCTTGCATAAAAAAGTCCATTTAGCTTCTTTGATTTAGTAATAGATTATTTATAGAGTTTAAGCATGCATGAATATTGAATACCCATAACAGGGTACATAGTATATGTTTGTCAAAATTCTTAAATGTATCGGAGATGTAGATATGTTATCTATGTATCTGAATGTGTAAATAAACTTTTGATTTATTTATTTCTTTTATTTATATTTCATTGCATACGATTAAATTGTATGTCAAAGTTTCAATGACAGGCATGTATAGTATGTACATATTAATTAATGTTCCTTAAAGATCCTGTATGTTTTGTGATTGATATTGTTACTGTATGTATCATACACTTGCAAAATGTTATATATGTATATAATTATGCAAATAAAACAATTTTCAAACATCCAAGAATATGTAAAATGTGTACTGCAAATATTTGTGCACATTATATTTAATCAATAAGTTACCTGCATTCATTTCTTATTGGAAAATTTGACTTGGAATTTATAGAAAATAAATTTCTAATTACCTCCCTTTATTTACGCAAAATGTTAAATTGGGTAATATCTTTATAGATAATGCTTATTTGAACTTACAAGATTGACAAATCTTAATTTGAGCGTCATATTTATGAAATAAAACCATGAAAAAAATGTGTTACAGGATCTTTAACCAATTACTTCATGAGCATTTTGTGAAAAATGACTGTTTTCATTGAAAAGCCCTGTTATAAGTTCAAATTGCTATGAAACTATAAAAAAGACTTCAAAACTGTTCAAACTTGGCACAAATGTTGACTGGACCATAGCCTTTGTAACGGCATACTCAATCTTATGTCCTGTTACCATGGCAACGAGGGGAAGTTTCAAAATTACCAAAAATCACTATTTTGTCAAAATGCTGCAATTTCTCAATGGATTGAGATAGAGCCAAAAGCTTTCAGCGTTGCTTACACGTTACCTTAAGGTCAACCTGAGGCTATTTAAGCTTCTCACTAGTCCAAAATTTTCGTGGAGATGAGGGGGTCAGAAGAGTCCCCCCAAGCAGAAGCTCTTGCACCCCTTTTTTATCTATTTGATAGGGGATGGCGCCGAAAAACTGATCACTTTTTTTTTACAAGTGTTTGAGGTCTAAATAGGTACATGTGTATTTTTCCCCACTATTTGAGGCCTCAAAGGGGTGGTGAAAAGACGTCTATATGAAGTAATTGGTTATTATTTATAATTTAAATGATGACACACTTTGTTTTAATTAATCTTTTTGTAAACATTACAAAACATGTTTATTTTTAACATGAACAGCAGTCTTTTATAAAAGGATATATTATCTAAATTTGCTTTCAAGGGAGATAATGTCACTGTGTCATATCTGAAAGACAAACATTACGCCCCCTGCGAACTAGAATTTAAACTTCCGCGTTCCAAGGTTCGGGTTGAAACGGACTTAAAAAAGGTGAGGATTTTCTACAGCTTTTCAGTATAATATTGCAAAATATATATTATGTTTAAGCACGATGAGTTTACTAGATAAAGTGAGGATAAATAGTTATACGAGCATATTTTAATTTTAAGATAAGTTAAATATGAGATAAAATGAAACAACTGAATAATATTAATCGGATCACGTGACTTCTCTTTGTTTTCGTAAAACACAAAATAAAACCGCTTAACCTTACTTAAAATGGTTTATTTAATTAATACTAAATAAACGTTTACAATAAAAGTTCAATGAAATATCCAAGATGAAAAGCTATTATGTTAAACTTGATAATGAATTGTACACTAGTTGATAAATACAATGTATGTGACATGTTTAGGCTTGCAAGATCGCATTGAGAAATGCAGATATTTGATTACGCAGGAACAAACAGTAGATACGGTGTATTTAATGTTAGTCATAAAGGTTTAAACATATTTATTTCCCATGAATATATATAATAATATATATTAATCTTTATTTCATATTGTTCAGAAGTTTGATATGTCGTCGGCGGAAAATTGATTAGTTATTTATTTTCATTTAAGAAAATGGAGGTATCTGGAAAGGTAACTTCGACATCAAAGACGAACTTTAACCTCTACTGTATTACGTGTGATACAGATGGATTAAAGGAGCCAGCTTACGGATTTTGTCAAGACTGCCAAGAACATCTTTGCAAAAGTTGCTTTCAACATCACAGAAGGTCAAGGCTATCTAGAAACCACGTACTGCTTGATAAAGACGCTATGCCAACACAACAAACAGCCGTTGACGTAAATACAGACGTCATTACTGACAACTGTACCAACCATAGGGATAAACCACTGGAGTTCTATTGTAACAATCACAAAACTGTAGCATGTTATGTCTGTGTGACACTTGAACACAAACAATGTAAAGTTGACTATATTCCTGATGTTTCAGGTAACATATCTGGCGAGTTGATAGATTTGAACAAAAAGATGGAAGATTTAGTCAAGAAATGTGAATATAACATTATGAAGGCTTCAGCTGCTACAAAGCAACTAGAACAAAGTCGTGGAAAAGTTGTTGAAGACATACGGCTCTTGAGAAAGGAAATAAACGATCGGTTAGATGAGATGGAATCTATGATGATAAAAGAAGCTGAAGCTGTTGTTAACACAGCAACCTACAAAATCAAGAATATCAAGGTTGTTTGTGAAAAAATAGCCGAGGAAGTGAAACGTTCACAGTCAATTCTTAATGCCCTGAAGGAAGCAAAAAAGCAGAATAAGCTTTTTATTGTAATGAAGAACGCCACACCACGTATGATGACACTGGAAAGTGAAGAAATACAGATTGTCAAAGATAATATGACATATGACGACATTCAATTTGACCGGAACGAAAAGCTGCTTGATCAACTGAAAAGTGAGAAAAACTTTGGAACAATTTCAACATACAGAAAACCATCAGAAGATACTGAAATATGTGCGAATAATGAAAGATCGCACAACGTGACTTTTCCTTCTGATAAAGAAAGAAGCAATGTCGTTGGGATGGTAATGGTTTCTGCCACAGAAATGGTCATCGCTGATTACGATAATAAAAATATTAAAATGATAGATGTAAACTCAGGATCGTTGTTGTCAGAGGAAACCCTGTCTTCAGCACCACGCGATGTTATAAGACTTCCGCAAAATGACCTTGCTATTGCATTACCGGGTGAAAAGTGTATCCAGATAATGTCTTATATTGATACAAGTTTGTCTTTAGATCGTCGTATAGATGTCAGAGAATTATGTAATTGTGTAGCTTATTGTAAGGACAAGCTAGTAGTGGGCTGTAATTATAATCTAGGAAAGCTGGTTATTCTGGGTTTAGACGGAAAATTGATTCAGGTGTTTGATACTCCTGGATTGTTTGATAGACCTAAAAATATTGTTATCAGCAGAGATGAGAAGTTCATGTATGTGTCCGATTACAGTAGATATATAGCTAGCAAGTGTATAAAGCTAGACTGGCAAGGTAATGTTGTACAAAGCTTCACGGATAAAGGATATAGAGGTCCTCAAGGAATACAGGAGTTGTCAGATGGTACATTGTTAGTCTGCTACAACGGCAGTCACAAAATTGTCAGATTGTCGAGCAGCTTTAAGAAATGTGAGATCACAGGATTAGAGAAAATAAACCTTTTCTTTCCAAATGCCGTAACATACAGTGAAAGCAATAACAAATTATATGTTAGCTGTTCTTCTGATAAGGTGTGGGGTTCAAATGATACAATAAAGGTGTTCAATGTGAGATAGATTATTAATATGTTTTGAATGCGAATATATGCTGAAATGTGACACATTGGATATAATCAGTAGTAGACAGATTATATTATTGGGAACATACTAAATTAAAAATAGACATCTTCTATTCAAAGTTGATAAACTCTAGAAATTCAGATTAATGTTTAACAGAAAAATGCATAATGAATGTAGATTATTATTTTTAAATCAGACTAATTATTAACTTAAGATCATCATTTATATACCATGTTAAAGAACAACCTATTAGTATGACTTTTCAATTAATCATTTAATTGTCCAGTGAATATCCCCGCTTTGTTTTTAATTGATAAGTCTGCAATGAAGGAATGTTAGCTGTTGTTTTTTTGTGTGTAAATAAAAATATTATGTTAAGTTATACTTTATTATACTAAACAAATGTGGTTATTCTCTTTCAAATGCCATAATAAAAAGGAATATGAATATTTCAATACGTACATGTGGGCAGAAAAGTGTTTGATTTGTAATAATTACTGCATGAGTGATCCTTGTTGACTTCATCAGTGATTTTGAAAATGATATAACTATTTGCATTTCACATGGTTTCAGCTGAATATGAACAAAATTGTTGACCATAGTTATTTATTTATATGTTACAGACTCTTTACATTTACAATGCTATATTTCATATTGATAAAAATGATAAACAATAGAAGCTTATCTTAATATTTGTGATAGTAATTGACATGCTATGTTGTGCTGTTTTTGCAAACAATTACTGAATATAAAATTCATGTTTGTATGATGTATTATGTACTGAGATGAATAAATTTGATTGATTGGATTCGATTTGATTTGAATTACGTTTACATCCCTGGTTAATCATACAGAGATTTTATCTTTTTCCATTTTGCCGTTTTGGATAGCCTTAGCAATACTGATGTAATTGATATTTGGTTAATTAAATTACAAATCTGTGGATGTTTCTTCATTCATTTTTCATCATTAACTCGTCGCCCTAATTCCATAATGATGTAAGTCGTATTTTTACCATTTTGAGAAAATCGACTTCAAAGATTTAACAGGCTATATCTTCACACTTACTCAACAAATTTTAATATAAAAAACATCATAGTGTGCAGAATTATTTTAACTTTTACACTTTTAGTTACGAAGAAGTTCCTGTAGACAGTTTTTTAAAAAATCAAAATAAAAGAAATGAAAAATCACTGAAAATATATTTTGTTGACAAAAATACAAGAACCAGAATGATGTAATAAGTTTCAGCAATGTGACCCTAAAATATCATTACATTTAGGAGTTAAAACAGTGTGAAATAATGACTATTTTACTGTTTTATACTGAAATTATATTAAATTTAGACGTAACTAGAAATTGAATGCTTTAACAAATAGTCTGGATCCACATTTATTTAGGCACCACAGAGCATGTAATGTAATCAGGATCAAAACAGTAAATTTAGTCTTAAAAGTCAATAATAGAAATCCAGACAATGCGGTGAAGTGTGAATAGCCACGAACAGGCATTTTAAGATTGAAATTGAACTCGGGCTTCATTATCTTATGACCATTTACATGAAATAGTGAGCCTTGCAAATGAACAAAAAAAATATTTATTTACTGATTTTGTAAAAGTATCACATTGAGTTAAACAAAATGAAATCAAAATTTAGGAACATCGTCATTGTATTGATATTTACCACATTAAATAGCAAAACTTTTATCATATGATATGCTATTTTCACATTAACATTGTACACTATAAAATATTTGGAATTCAGATTTACATTTGGTTTCGTTATTATATCATTAATTCATTCCAAATTCAATTTTGAATACCTGTTACTTGCATACAAACAGCATGTTGAACACAATTTGACTTACAAAACACACAAAAATGTTTGAAAGATGTAACTGCTTCAACTTTGAAAAACAACATTAACAATGAGTTCATTTCTCTGTAACATGAAAAAGAATAAACCTATGTATTTTACTTTTCTAAGAACAGCATTACTTAATATTTTGTTTTTAAAAAAAGAAAAATATGAAATACAACTCAAAGCTCACAAATTTTCAAAGATGCTACAGATCTGGATATGGTGTTTCAATGAACTACTGTACTTCAATTACTTCAAGTATTTATATATCAAGTGGCATACAACTTCTTTACATACAATAACAATTAAGTATACGTTTGCTATTAATGTTTTTAACTGAACTGTTTACATCAATAACTCATTCGTATAAAATCAATGGTCAATATCTAAGAGTTTCAGTCAAATATTAATTCTATTTTACTTCAACAAACATTTGATGAAACAAATATGACAATTTAAAGATTCCTTAATGTTTTATATGGTCTTAAGACTTTGTAACTTTTTTTCACGAAATCATTTTTTCTACGTTTCAATCAAATGACAATTTTTAACTAAGCATATTTTTTTTTCTTTTTAAAAATAGTTTTGGTAATGGATAATTTTCAGATCACAGGTTCGAATCACTTGATAATTAATTACAGGTAGTATTACATTACGAGTTGGAAGTAGATGTACCAGAATTATTTTTAACTTAGAAACTTAGATTAATTTTGCTTTGCATGTTCCAATTATTTAAGAAATTTTAGCATAAGATTATGTTGACAAAATGGTATAGACTGACACCCTGTTGATTTATGCAAAATAGCTGAGTAGGTCATTAGGGTGGCATTCTGTTTAATAAGTATTTGTTGTGCAAATGACATCTCTTATTCCATTTGTATTCAACGCTAAATGGTGCATCTGAGACAACTCGGTCTCAGCTTTTAAACTTTTGTTATAGGGATATTATCAACTTTAACCCACCATATAGGCTTTGACGTTTGGACGTACTGTTTTAAGAACACAAACGAGTGATGTAGGACTGAATACTTCTGCAATTTTAAAAGTGTTTTGTCTTTCTTCCTATATTACAGTGGGTATTGTTAACCACTGTGGATTGCATAATGCCTCGGACAGCAAAACTTTTGATTTTTTTGTGATCGTTTTATAAAAGTGCAGAATTTTGAAATTATGAAATTATAAATTATGAAATAAACATGATTAACATAATTTAACATCAGTTATGAGTGGTAAAGTTATATATGTGTAAATTTTATTCGAATCTCTTAGCACCAGTATGTTAATTTGTCTTATATAGTAAAAGAAAAACATTGTACAAAATGTAACAATGGCAGTAGTATGATTCCATTTGATGAGTTTTGTTTGTAAGTTAAAAGTATAAACAATCTTATGCAAAACCTGATTGTCCGTATTTAATGGTAACATTGATCAATCAATCATATAATCAATCACATATCAAGTTATTAACAGTTGATACTTGTGAATATTGAAAGTTTGTATCAATTTATCCGATTTCCATGCTATCCGAATTTCATAACACAGCATGGTGCTTTGAATTTAGCTCAAGGGTTAAGAGTAGTTATTATTTCTTTTTAAGGTTTGAAACAGTTCAATAAAAAATTAATCTATAGATAATTAGATAACATCTAAAGCTAAACACTTACATGTTATCAAGCAATATAAAACGTAAAATGTCATTCCTGATACCTTGAAAAATCAGCCATTTTGTCAAAACAGCATCACGTGACTAGAATCTTAACAAACTATTGGTTCAGAAGTTACGATATTATGGACTGTATTTTTATCACAATTTTTGGACTTATAGCACTCTGACCCATTCAATATATTGTAACAGGCAAGAACCAGAGTGATGTTGTTCTAACCATTAGATAGAGACAAAAATTACGAACATTTTGATACCAAACACTCATTTTTTTCAAAATTGGAGTTATACACTCTGGAATTAGGGCGACGAACTGTTGAATTCTGCTTAAACCGGTGATAAGGGGCCTAGACAATAGCTTGCATAAATTACTTAATTACTGCACGATATTCACTTCTTTTTGTAAGTTGATTAACATCTAACATGCCCTATCCATCATTTAGTGTCGGACGTTTTAAGCTATATTCTCTTATGTATCTGTATTTGTTTTTCTTTTTAATTCACACAAATTGTTTTCAAGTTTAAATAACCAAATCAGTGATAAGCATTATAATATGATGCACTATAATAATCTGTTAAAAGGACATTATGCCTCAGAAATCATTTCTTTTATTCTTGAGAAAGGCCGAACATGTGTTTAACAATTTCATTATTGATTCGGGCATGTTAGATGTCAAAAAACTGAAACAATAAATAAATATCGTGCAGAAATAGTTACCGTCCGTACTAAAAATAGGGCTGTATAGTATTTACAGACCCTTTAAAACTATCAACCGTTACGCTCTTGTAATTTGAAATGCAGTAGATGAGGGGTTACATGTACAAGTTTATTGAAATTCACTTTTTTAATGTACAAAGGTCAGGTTGATATATTGAAATATCACAGAAAATGGGTCCAGATCTGGAGGAGATTCTATTATAAAAACGGCTAATTATTTTTTGAAATATATGCATATAAATATAAAATCAAGAAAAAACCCAAAAAGATTTAAAATAAATGCAGTATGTTTAAACAATAGTTACATCTTGTTTATCAAGTTTATCAAGTTTATCTTGTTTTGGGACGGAGTTGAATAAATCAAACGAAAATTATGAATTATAAAAAAGGCAAATATCTATATTTAATGGCGATTTCCGCAAGTATCTTCAATACATTATTGCAGGTACGAACTGGCTTAGTAAAACTGACAACATTCAATAATCTTCTAAAAAAGGAAAGAAGGAGCGATCGGTCTCTCTTTGACAGTCTGCTTAAATACTTTGGCGTATGTCTGGCTTATAACTATTCAAATGACGTTATCCAATAAAAATTCCATCAGGCTATTCAAACAGACGGTATAAAAAGGGAATCTATAACTTTTTGACTCACAGAACAAGTGACGTCTAATAGATTTACAGGCACGTGGTTCCCTTTGTGAGGCTGACATTTTTGACAAATGCGCATTTAAACAAAAAAAGAGCCCTAAAAGTGAAATATTTTATCCATGTGAACTCAAATTCATGATAAATAATAGTTTGTCAGGCTTTCAATTTAAATATATAATGTTTATATTCAAGGTCAATTAGTGACGAGACTTCTAAGAATGAATAAATAAATTGCATTATGAATTTTATGTTTTAAATGATATGGTTTTGCCGTGTCATAGATGTCTGATAGTATATATTCCTTGAAATCAACGTGCATGTCTTCGTCCCGTAAATGTTCTTTTAGTATATCCTTAAATAGCACTCCCCTTCTATATCTGTTTAGTAACAGCACACGAAGACAGCACGCGCAGTCTAGCACGGACCATAGGGACTTGAAACACTGTAATCAAATTAAACGCAAACGGTTCTTACCGTATTAACAAAAAAATCCCAAGAAAATTCATGTATTCGCTTTGTAATAATTACCAAACCATCAATCTGAAAACAACTTTATGCGTTCGTCTGTTTTGAATAGAACAAGAACCCATATAATACTTTGGACATTGATTTTGCTTTTCGGAATAACTTTAAAGATCCTGTATGATTTGTGCTGTGTGTATACCACACTTACAAAAAATTATATATGTATATAATTATGCAAATAAAACAATTTTCAAACATCCAAGAATTTGTAAAATGTGAACTGCAAATATTTGTGCACATTATATTTAATCAATAAATTACATGCATTTATTTCTTATTGGAAAAAATTAACCTGAACTATCGTTTGCTTCTGTTAATGTTTGGCAATTTAGTTTGATGATTATGATAAAGTAATTTGTATGAAAGTCAAATACTACTTTGTTTACATTTTGCT